CGTGCGTGCATGGGTGGGTGGGGGCAAGAGAGAGACTCTCTGTACTTATAGGCTATTTCATAACTATGTGGTGTTTTAAACCACGCAGGCGTGCGAGAGAGAGAGCCTATGAAAGCACCAATAATCGAAATAATATACTTTCAAACATACGATAAACTTGTCAAATATAAAAACATCTAAAACAGCTATTTCATATATATTCGGATACAACAGTAATACATTGCTATTAGGACCGCACGTCCTGTGACAAGTTTGCTGCATCAGAGCATGGACGTTATCAGTCTAAAAGGTCTGTAGTCAACGGTGAAAGTCAAAAGTAGATTTATTTTAAAGACCAACAGTTTAACACTAAATATTGGACATAAACGAACACGTTAAATATAAAAGTATTTAAAACAGGTAAGTTCATATATTTGGAGTAAAGTTCAATTGAACGCATACAGCGCTCCGGACCGCGCACCCCATGACAAGCCCAATTCGCCGCCACAGAAACAAGAATGAAATGCATTCTAACATAACTGTGGCATTAAATTCAGTTAGTGAGGGCACGGTTAAAATATTGCACATACATAGGCCGTTCAGATTACTTGTTAAAATGCAATGAAATACCTCATATCAGCAGACGATGTACTGTGTTTGTAGTTGAAGACTCCGGCTACAGGCTCTAATCCTCATTTTCGCGAGTGTGAAATGCAGTGCTGAAGTGAAATAATAATAATAATAATATATAGGAATAATAATAGCCGAATAATAATAGGCCGCCTAATAATAATAATTTAATATATTTATAGGAGAATTAGCCTAAAAAAAGTCTTGACTATTGATAAAGACATCTGCTATCATCAATATCTCTGTCGATCTCTATTTATCGACACAACCCTAGTGCACACACACAGTAGTGAACACACACATAGATCAGTGGGCAGCCATATTGCTGCGGCACCCGGGGAGCAGTTGTGGGTTCGGTGCCTTGTTCAAGGGTCTCACCTCAGTCATGGTATTGAGGGGGGAAGAGAGTGATGTACATTAACTCCCCCCACCGACAATCCCTGCCGGACCTGAGACTCGAACCCACAACCTTTGGGTTACAAGTCCAACTCTCTAACCTTTAGGCCACGACTGCTCTTGTGTGGAGTGTGGAAGCTGAACTGTAGCAAGCTCAGGTGCCGGTGCGATCATTTGCATTTAACTTAAAATACTTATTTTTTTTTTACTCAGATAAGAGTAATACATCTTTTGAATCTATAAAAGATCTACTTTCATTTGTGTGCACTCACATTAACAACAAAACGTTGTGATTTTTTTAAATAATGAAAGCAAACAGAGTGTGCTTTCTGCCGTCTAGGTCTTTGTAAACTTGAGCGCATCCAAAAAAAAAAAAAGGAACAGAAACTCTGTGCTTGCCACACAGACATTAAAAATATATCTACAGAAAGCGAAATGTCCACTTTTAAATGAACCAATTCAAATGGAAAACAAATTAGTATTTAATTATTATGATGTTAAAGCAGTCTTATTGCCGTTTTTTTCCCTGAAGCATTCGTAATCTTTACTTCTGTGGTGCACTGTGGCAAGCTTTATGTGTGCGCTTGAGTGCTGATAGGCTATAGGCATCTAAAGGCCAAAGACTATAGAATACCCAAGACGTGTCACTCGTATAGTTTTGAATAGGGAAAAATGCAACACTCAATATGGCCGCTCTATCGAACGAAGCCCATCTTTTGAGTTAACTAAGTTAACGAGTTAACATAGAACTGACAGCCCTAATATATTATATATAATATATATAAAATGTAGGGCTGCCCTCGACTAAAGATTTTTCTAGTCGACTAGTAGTCGTTCATTTTAAGCATTAGTCAACTAATCACACATTTATTAATGAACCTTTTAAATAATAATAATGAGCCTTTAATTGCCTACATAGCCTAATAAGTGCTCAAGCGCACGCTTAAAGCTTGCCACAGCGCACCGGCAGAAGTAAGCTAATAATTACGAATGTATCAGGGAAAAACAGTAAGGAGGCTGCATTAACATTTCAATAATGTATTGATACATTATTTGTTTTCGGCTTAAGAGATGAAGTCGGCGACACTGACTCGTCATCTCTGCAGTAGTGATGTGGCTGTATGTTTTATACGGATTACATAATCTGAGAATATTTGCTTTCCATTTGAACTGGTCCATTTTAAAGTAGACATTTCACTCTCTATATGTTTTTCATATCTGTAAGGCAAATATACACAGAGTTTTGCGCTCAAGTTCACAGAGACCGAGACATCAGAAAGCGCACCCTGTTTGCTTTTATTATTTTGCAAAAGCGCCATGTTTTGTTGTTATTGTGAGTGCACACAAATAAACGTAGTCTTTACCGATTCTAAAGATGCATTACTCTTATCTGTATGAGCAAAAATGAGGGAGTATTTCAAGAGTAAGTGATCGCGTCGGCGCCTCCATCTGTCCTGCAGTGAGCTCGTTACTGTTCAGTTTCCATGCTCCGCACAGACACTTCAATAGCACACATTTTTCTCGGTTAACATTAGATTGAGCGGCCATGTAAAGTTGCTAATACACACATATTTCAGATGGTAAGCCATATTTGAGGTCAATGAATGATAGGCGAGCATTTGGATGTCTTGCCCAATGTACTCTGTTACCATAGACCAGCCGTTAACGATCTGTCTGGCACGAACTGCGTGACTTTGCCAGTTCGCCAGTGGATTTTTTTTTTTGCGACTAAGCGACTAATAAAATTTTGGTCGACCAAGCTTCTGCTGGTCGACTAACGGTTGGTCGACTATTAGGAGGCAGCCCTAAAAAAATTACAGATTCTCTCACAATCACGGAAGACAGGATGATTGTTACTGCTCAACCTACTTGAGTTTATCCAGATGGTTGAGTGTTTCAGAGAGCAGCTTCACTCCTGAATCTCCTGGGTGATTGTAGCTCAGATCCAGCTCTCTCAGGTGTGAGGGGTTTGAACTCAGAGTTGATGCCAGAGCAGCACAACCCTCTGCTGTAACCATACAGCCAGATAATCTACAACAAAAGTCCAATTGTTAAAATAATGAAAAGATATACAATACAATAGCCAACAGGGCTCTTCAACTGGTGTCCAATGTGGCAAATCTGTAAACAGTCAGTTATAAGGCTCTCTAAATGATTTTAATGAAACCATGAAGCTGTCTGATTCATGAGATTCTCTGTGCAAAACTCACCAGTGAGTTAAAAAGTGCTTAGTGGTCATCAATTACTGGCCACCGACTAAATCCAGACCAGAAAGTGTATCTTGTTAAGCTCATAGGCCAGCGTTAGGCATAAATATCCAAACACATTTTACTCAATAAGTGATTTGTTTTTTGTGATTTGAAACACAATTGAACCTGTTTGGTTCTTCATGCAGTTGGTCAGTAAACTTTTTGTGTGTTCATTACTGAACATCTGCTCAAATACCTGTGAACTGCTCTGACTCCAGTGAGCAAATTGTATCTGCAGGATAAGCAAATATTTTTTTAATGCAAAATAAAATAGTTCTACATTAGATGTAGATATTGTATCAGATCTTTTCAATGCTCTTCCTCATTTCTAAACAACAGCACTAAAATGTTCAAATTATAAATTTTTTTCATTTTCAAAGTAAAGTTTATTATAACCCAGTTTTTAGCTAAACTGTTAAGCTGATCCATTCATGTTGGGGTTATTTCTTTATTTCCTCTTCTTATTTTGCAACCTCAAAGCTGTTATTGAACTGAATTGAATCAACATTGATCTGACTCGACAGGAATAACAATGTTTACATTAAAAAGCTATCAATTTTTATACTTTACTATTTATTGCACATATATTTTAACATATATTTTTGCGTAAACTAAATAAAAACATTTATTTCATAATGAGATGCCCCCCCCACTTTCCATTGTTTTACTTCAATGAAAGAATTTTGTGAATTTTTTTAATTAAAGATCAAAAGGATAAACGATGCAGATTTATTTCCACAGCTGCCTTTGCTCATATTTTCCAAGTGTGCCAATATTTGTGGAGGGCACTGTATATACTTAGGAATGCTCAAAACGGAGTTAAAAACTAGAGCCCGACTGATATATCGTTTTGCCGATATTATCGGCCGATATGAGCCTGTCGTCGATATATTGGTATCGGCGAATATGCCGCCGATATGAATTTTTTTTACAGAACATGTAATGCAGATAAAATGCTTGAAATGGTGTAATTACTTAGTTTGTCCTGCATTGTTTGCTACTGGCGACCTGGATGAAACGCTTTAAAGCTTAAGTCTATGGAAAACCATTGAAACTTTGAACGGCCATATCTCCGTAACGGCACGGCGAATCCGCACCAAATTCGGGGGATCTCTTCAGCTCAAGGAACCCTCTCGAACGCGAATCGAGTGTACGTCTCAAGGCCCTCTTTCGAATGAGACCACCCCCACGTGGATAGCCCCCGGGGTTCGGGAGTTACGGGTGGTTAAATTCGCGGTCCGGCGCCGACCGATCCCGGGGGCTACCGACGCATGGAGGGTGGCGTTCGAGAGGGCTCCTCGAGCTGAAGGGATCCCCCGAATTTGGTGGAGATCCGCCGGCGTGTTCATGAGATAGTGACACCAGCCAACACTTTCCCTTCAGTAAGGACTTGTTCAAGCAGCAGCATTCAAGCGTTGTCTTATTCGACCGTAAGTGCCCTGCGAAGTGGACTTCACATGAAATTCCGCCA